GAAACATTAGTGTTTAACAGGTGTATTTACTAACTAACTTGTCTGATTTATATGGTGAACTACATAATCACAGAAATATCAGTAAAACTTACAAGGTGAAATTTGTACTTGCTGGAATATTACTGACCAAATGTTACCTGATAAATGGCGTAATTACTACTTAATAACACATTAGTGATAAATGTTTGAAGGTGAAACATGTATTGATGAAAATACCAGTGTATTAAAAGTTACAGTAAACAAACAATTATATAATTGTATGGTCAGTGAAAGAGGTTGAATTATTAGAACTAAAACCAAATACAAATGAGTAATGTGAAAAAATAAGTTAAACCAAAAAAAGCAGTGGATAACTGAACAACTGATATATTACAGTGGAGGTACGTTCATTCTTTAGTAAACTAAAAAAAAGATGTTAACTCTAAAAATCAAATGTGTTTTTTGTTTCATGCACCAAAGATATATCAATTCATTTGATTCACTATTACATCATATTCATTCAGTCATAGGCTTTTCTAACAGAATCTCTAACTCAACTTATTACACTTGAGTAGCATTCTAGCAGATGCATTAAACAGTATTTAGTTCAAGAAACAAACACTATCATATAACAAAACAAATAATTATGTAAATGCATAAAACTTGCTTTTTTTAACTGTAACGATATGCAATAAAAGTTGATTACTATTTATTTTCACATATATATATATATAGATATTTACCTCCTTCCACATCACATACATTTTTGTATACTGTTGGGAAGGGCTCACTCAGACTTTGAAGGCTTGGCTTTCCACCTCTTTCTACTCTTAAAGGAGTCTATAGCAAGAGAAATAAAGTAAAAGAAGAAAATAGTTTAATTTAAAAGGAACAATTTATAATATTCTGCTAAAGAATAACTGAATAAGGTATATAGTTTTAGAAAATAAGTAAGAAATTCACTTTTCTCTAAAACTACAAGTCTTTGTATATCTAAGATTCAAGTAAGGGAAGCAATACAAAACTATTAGCACTATATTTACATTTCTTCAACATATGACTTGTGGTGTAATTTTATGTGGTTATTTTTGTTGCTGCAACTTATATATATATTGAAGGAGGTTTAAGCTTTAATATAAATTTCTTTTTTATCATCAAAGTTTGTGGTCATATTTTTTTTAAGACTTATCTTCCTTTTAGTATAAATTTTCTCTTGTGTCACTCATTATATATTTATTTTTATAAATAATACGTAGACATCAATAAACTTTAACACAATAACTGCACAGAATCTCATACCTGGAGTAATATTAAACTAGAAGCAGATTTGAATACTCTAGTGTGGATATAATCCCCAGTTAGAGCTTGGAAATTAGTACTTTTTCTAATCAATGAATCGATGGGCTCATTAACTGATTACATTAAAAAAATAAATTATTCAAAATAATTATAATATATTCTGTAAATGGTTCACTCAGTTAGATTATAATTTAGGGATTTCAAACTTGTATCTTTATTTCTAGCAATTTGGTTGATATGAAAATAAAAACAATTAAAAGCAAACATTTCAAATCTTTTAAATCAAAATTAAATAGTTCTGTTATTTATAAGCAAATAATTATTGTGTTCATTTGGAAAAGATGCCTGTTTTCAACATTTTTTAAATAGTCATTACATGTACAGTCACTCTAGTTTTCACTCATGTTGTAGATCAAAAATATGGAAAAACTTTCTCAGGATTATTCTAACTTCTAAACAATGAAAAATTGATTCTGTTTCAAGTCTATATTATAAAATCTGCAGGTGTTCTAAACGAATAATTTTGATGAAAACAAATTTCTAAATCTAGACACATTGCTAGGGTGTCTGGAAAAAGCCAAGGTATGAAAAGTTACCATGGTGATGAAGTTTGGAGATGACTTGAACGGGTATTGAAAGAAACTTTATTACGAACATAATAGTTTCTTTCACTACCCATTCAAGCCATCTTCAAATTTTATTTTCTAAAAAGTGGACTCCTCTTAATTAAATTTAAATTACTATGGCAATGTTTAATTTAAGTTAATATTGTTGTATTAGCATAGAAATAATCAGTTACTTGCTGAAGTCTTAACTGGATAGCTGTAGAATCCAGGAAGGTTGATTTCAGAAAACCTCAAAAAAATCTCTTATGGTAATTAATAGCCTAATCAAACAGAAACATTGACATTTAATGTTTCTTTTTGATATATATGATAGTGTAAGAATGTCCTGATCCCCTGGAACCCCACTAGATCCTAGCCTGTATATATAATATTGACAGATACAGTGGAGGAAGCCTGCTCCCCTGGATCATCACCCAGATCTTTGCCTGCTTATACAACATTAAAGAATATAGTTATTAATTTCTGAAATAAAGTGAGGGTGGTAGAGGGCTTGACCCCCTCCCTTAGATTTAAATTTTTTTTAAATTAATTTAATTTAATTTTTTTTTTCAGAAATTAGGAGTCCATTATCCATAGACCTCTCCCCTAAATTCATGCCTGCTTATAACTACAGTTACACAGTTATAAGTCAGCATATAACCAAGTTAAGAAAACACAGTTTAAGAACAAATAGAAAGTAAGAGATGGTTCAAGTAAAAAAAACAACAACTAATTAATAAAAAACAGTGAATTAAGAAAAAAACTAATTAATAAAAACCAGTGAATTAAGTAAAAAATTTTAATTAATAAAAAACAGTGAATTAAGAAAAAAATAAAACAAAATTAAAAAAAATTAACACTAGTAAGTAAAACATAAATGCACTAGTTGGTGTAAAAGATGAACATAATAACAAGACCAAATAAAGCGAGTAGAAACATGTTTCAAGTTAGAAAAATAACATGTTCTATATATCAAAAAGTCAAGTTAGAAATACAAACACCAGTTAGTCAAAAATTATGTAAACTAAGAAAAACTAATACTGTTAGTATGGTATGGTTAAAGTAAGAAAACCAATCACCACTTAGTTTAAAAACAACAACAAAAACATCAGTATAGAAAAGAAACACCATGAAACATGACTCAAATGTAAAACCTTACATATTTATGCCATAATCAATTTGGAGATATGCTACTGAAATTCATAAAATACGTTTTTAATTTAATAAAAAAACTCACTTAGGACTTATTTTTAGGAACATGTTCCATCTACATATTTTTATACTCCATTTTTTAAAAATAAAACAAATTATATCAAACAGCTTCTTCAATTAAGCTACTTTTGAGCTAATATGGTTCTCCTAGTTAGCATTTTAAAATTATTTTATTTTGCTACTTTCAAAATATATGTTTTAATAATAAATCATTTTCAATTGCTTCAATAACCAATTTCTCTAAAATATCTTTGTTTCTTCATTGAAAAATTACCAACTTAATCAGCTTATATTTTATGATATTGTGTTCTAAAGATAGTTGAAAAATATATTTACCTGAAGGTTGACTTGACTAGGTAAGGGCAGTGGAACAGTGAACTGGGACTGAGTGGGAACACCACTAATAGAGCTAATTTCAGGACTGTACGGACTTACCTGAATGAGAAACAATCACATATTGAAAGGTCTTTTAAAACTAGCAAACAATATTGTACATACTTTTTACATTAACGGGTTTAGTCCAGTTTCTTGAGCATAGTATAAAAAAATCAAGAGAAATAATACTGCTTATTAAAATGGTTAGAACTATGTAAAGAGACGAATCTCTATTAATATTTCATAAGCTAAAACAACAGTTTCTAGTATAGAAAATCAAGAGAAATAATACTGCTTATTAAAAAAGTTAGAACTATGTAAAGAGACGAATCTCTATTAATATTTCATAAGCTAAAACAACAGTTTCTAGTATAGAAAATCAAGAGAAATAATACTGCTTATTAAAATGGTTAGAACTATGTAAAGAGACGAATCTCTATTAATATTTCATAAGCTAAAACAACAGTTTCTAGTATAGAAAATCAAGAGAAATAATACTGCTTATTAAAATGGTTAGAACTATGTAAAGAGACGAATCTCTATTAATATTTCATAAACTAAAACAACTATTAATTCATTCCATTAATTTAAACTTTAATATATTACTAGAAGTTAAAAACAATTCAACTTTTAGTTAAATGGAAATATCTTATGAGAAAATACATGTTGACAAACACATATAGGCTCTTTTTAAATCTTTCTGATAAATGTCATAGAAAGCTGATTAGTTTTTTGTTATTTATACAACTAATCCATTTTTGTGCTTAATTATCACTAGTTAGTTGTCACACTAATATTCAGTTTATTCTTGAAATATTACTCTAGGATTAGTTATGAACAACTAAAAAACAAATAAAGGTTCAATTATATGCTCAATTATTGAGCAAAACACCCATTAGTAACTGGTCTTTCTAATAACTATCTCTCCTCACATGTTCACACAAGTTTTGGAATTACTTGCAACTTACACATGTTCACACAAGTTTTGGAATTACTTGCAACTTACTCTATCACTCTGTTTCTTCTTCTTTGGTAGACTGTTTAAAGGGTTGTGGTCTATTGCCCAGTAAGAACCCTGCCATAGAAAAAAAGCACCTCTGTCAAGACAAACTATGTTGGTTTAAATAAATACACTCCTAAACATATGACGTTTACATCACAAGAATGGCATTGACATTTACATCACAAGAAAGACACAAGAATGGCATGGACATTTACATCTCAAGAATGGTATGGACACTTACATCACAAAAAGGATGAGGGCGCAGATCCAGGGTGGCTCAGGGGATGTCCTTATCTATATGGCATATCCCCCTTCGAAAGGGGGTACCAAGGGGGACTAGAAAATGCTTGAAAGGTCACCAAGGTACAATTTGGGTCAAGTATCACATTTCTAGGGTTGCTAAACTCGAACTTGTGATTGGACTTTGTAATTCTGGTCTCTTCTTAGGATCCCAGGAGAGTGATGGTTGAAACTGTGTTCATATTACAACTCAGAAGATAATAGGGCCAAACTTGACACATGTGCTCAGGTACTTCAGGCAAATGTCATAAGAGTTTATTTTGGGGGGGATAAGGACTTCTTTGGAGTAGCTATAGAAATAACTGGTAATAATGAAGAAGTTTGACCATACACTGGGGCTCCTGTAAGTCATGAGGGGTCTCTTTGAGTCCTGTAGCAGAATGTGGTATTTTATAATAGTTTGGTTGACTTACAGCCTTTTAGAACTTTCAATGAACATACAGAAGCATTTGATAAAGCAAAGTTTTTTGGTTTACAAGGATAACTCACTATTGTTTATGGCTTTGGATTATAGATAGAATGACTCTTTTTGTATGCAAAAGAATTATAAAATAAGGGAAATCTTTACTTTTTCTAGCTATTAAATGAAGGTAAGGTACTGTATGCAAATTACCTTTCCAGGGTCATCTTTAGAACGAGGAACTTTGCAAAAACATTTGTTGAGAGACAAGTTGTGCCTAATGGAATTCTGCAAAAAAGAAATATCAAAATTTATGAACATACAGATTATATTTATTACATTACTTAAAGCTTTTTTTCTAACGTTAACTATTTATGATTTTAAGTTCTGGAGTTCATTATGAGAAATTCAGTCCTAATTAACAGTGTTTCAAAAACTAAACCAATTATATTAAATACAGATCCAAGTAAACAATGAAATATGATGAGGTAAGTTCTAGGTTATGGAGAAGATTCTGACAGTTCTCTGTTTTTGAATCCATCAATATAAGACTGGCTAATAGGAAACTTTTTGATTTTTAATTGTACATAAATATTGTTACGTCTCCGTGTGTTAATTA